AATGCTGTAGGTCTTGTATGCATTCACAAATCTGATTAAAAGGGAGCCCTAACATCTTGATGTTCCATGCTGTGTAAAATATAACTCCATTTTCATAAATTCTGATTCTGATCTCTGACCACCCAAGCATCTGAATTTATCAAAATTTTTATTATAGAATAGCTTTAGAGTTATAAAAGTTCCAGAGATGACAGAGTCCATGGACACTCCCTTCCCAATCTCCCCCATTAGCAGCACCTTACATTACTATGCTGCTTTGTCTCAACTGAGCCTTAATTGATGATATATTATCATTCCCTAAACCTGGTATTTCCTTGCACATCTTTGGCCATTACCCCCTATATCTTTTCTGTTTCAGTTTAGGGGATCAGACCAGTGAGATTCAGTGCCACTCTTGTCACATTAGAGCAAATGTACCTATGATCAAGACTTATCCCAGATGCTTCCAATCCCTTCCAATGGACAGGGGAGCATGTGCAGTTTAACACAAGCTCCTTGGATGTTTCTTGTATCTTGGCTAATTTTCAAAGTGCCATGTTAAATTTTAACATCTTAGAGAATACTAAATAAGTTTTTGTAGCTTTTTTTTTTTCTTTTGGTACCGGGAATCAAACTCAGGACCTCATGCTTGCCAAGTAGGCGCTATCCCACTGAGCTATATCCCCAACCCTAAATAAGTTAATATAATGATCTGTAAAACTAATGATCTTCAAAACTATGTTACTCATCAGAAGTGATGTCTGCCTCTATCATGTCATGTGTTTTGTAGCTTGCTGTTTGGGGATAAGGTGGGTACTCTTTTACTCCTCACTGTTTGTTGCTTATTATCACCTGTCCCTCCTTCCTAGAGCCTCTATTTCTATTTAAGATCATGTCATTCAACATATTTACCACCTAGTAGCTCTTCTTGACTCAACACATCGATAAGCCTCTGAATCACACCAACAATTTTCAAAGATCTCAGTTCCTTCCTCTCTTGGCTTCATAAGTATTCCTCTAATATTTCTTGCTGACTTCAATATCCACACCTGTACTCCTCTCAGTACATGACCTATCTACTCCTTTACCTCTACTCTAGTGATCTCTCTGAGCTCTGCCAAGGTCATAAGCACATTTTATCATTAATAATAATTTTATCAGACTGGGGACATAGCTCAATAAACAGCACCTGCCTCGCAAGCATGAGGTCATGAGTTTGATTCCCTATATCAAATAATAATAATAATAATAATAATAATAATAATAATAATTTTATCGACTCTGTAATTCCAATTTTTATTGTTCCACCAAAGCATCTACTTTCCATCCATACACCGCAATGTTTTCACCTTCTTGTGAATAGTCTGCTTCCTCTAATTTGTTGCCTCTTAAAAAAAAACCCAAAACAAACAAAAAACCCTATCACTTCTAATCAGTGGTGTCTGTCAGCAGCCAGTGCCTGTGCATACCCTCAAATCCTCACTTTCCTGCTACCTTTCTTAGGTTCTAGGGTCCAATATAATTTATTTTATCAACTCTTCACAGTCAACCCAAATCCGAGTAAAATCCAGACCTCTGGGTATCTTGCTCCTGAAATCTAGCAGATGATCACAAAGAGGAGGAAAAAATTCATTGCAACGTGATGCTGTGCTCACAGTACTTTCATGAGAGTATTCAGAAATGGTCCTTCATGTCACCCTATAATAACTGCTTTATTTTCACTTACCTAGTGACTTGGGGATTGTTTCGTACGTTATCTTTTCTTCTGAAACTTCTTGTGCCTTCTCTCTGACTGCCCTCAAACTTCTACTGCCTTCTCCTCACTTTTAGTGAATAACCTTGCTCTGACCTCACTGCTGAAGTGGAAGCAATGAAGAAGAGTTTCACATGTTCCTACCGCTATATCTATCAAAACCACTACTTAGATTCATTGCTTGAATGATAAAGCACCAATTATCCTTTCCTATCTGAGGCCAGTCGATCTACTTAAGTACTAAATTCAGTCTAGTGAAGCCCTTTTCTCTCGCTATGAGCTGTTTTCTTCTTATATCATAGTTGTTGTTAATGACTTATTTCTAACAATCTATGAATACACACCCTTCTAAAGAAACTGCCTCTTGATTCTATATCTCCTCACCTCTCTGCTCATCAGAGAAGAGGTCTGTAGATACTATTTCTCCTTCCTCCCTCCCACGTCTTCTCAATCCCCCTTCATTAGGACTGATACTCTTGCCAGTCCACTGGGGCTGCTCCTGTGAAGGGTCAGAAGACCTCTGCATTACATAAACCAGTGGTCATTTATCAGGTGCCCAATTTCACCAAACAGAATCATCCTCCACAGCTGATCCTTACAACTTGAAACAATTTCTTGGCCTTACAGTACCAAACTTATTTTTTCCATACTTGACTGGATGCCTCTTCTTAGTCTCCTTTGATAATTCTTCTATATACAAAATCTTCCTAAACATTGTAATATTACAGGACACAGTCCTCCCACTCAGCTGAAACCCCTTCTATCTTGGAGTTGTAAATATGATTCCTACCGTGAAAGTCCAAATTTGTATTTCCAGCTTGAACGTCTCTCAAGAAAATGCAGACTCTTGTTTTTATTATATATATTAATTTAGATATCTAATAGGAACCCATAGAAGAAAATTTGCACCTGGCCATTTAAACAGACAAGGAAAAAGTTAACTCAAGACTAATGTAATAAGGAGAAAAACTAGATTATCTATTGAAAACAAAATTAGAAGGGTTTTCACGTAATTGAGGGAAATTCATGGAGCAGCTCTGATAGACTGACATCGAGAGGAACACATGTCAGAAGGATCAGGCCGTTAGTTTTGTAACTGGTAATTTTTGAAGTTAGACTTCTACCCTCTCACATAGACTGAAAGGTTGGGCTATAAGCTTTCTCTTCAAATTTTTATTTTTTGATGATTTTTATTTTTTGATTAAAATACAATAATTATACATTGTAGGGTAAAATGTGATGCTTCAATTCATGAATATATTATGGAATAATGAAATCTGGGTAGTTAGCATATCTATCACCTTATACTTTTTCATTTCTTTAAGAGGAGCATATTAAAAAGTCTTTTCCAGTTACATTTCAAAGGGATTACTTCCAGGTCCTGCAGACAGGCATTTGCATCTTTTTTTTAGGGGGGGGGTACCAGGAATCCAAATCATGACCTCACGCTTGCCAGGCAGGCACTGTGCCACTGAGCTAAATCCCCAGCCCCCAGGCATTTGCATCTTAAAAGGGTAGAAAAAGTTTTACTTGTAAACTATCTAAAACAAATGCTATTTAAAAGGAGAGAAAGGAACCTATCTATGCTGGTGGTGAGAATTTAAGTATAACCAATATGGAACTCATTATGGAACATCCTCAAAAAAGTGAAAATAGAGCTAACATTTGATAGAGCTGTATCACAAAAGAATTAAAGTCAGCATACTTATAGAGATACCTGCATATCCAAGTTCTCATGGTGTAATTCATAAGATCTAAGCTAAGAAAACAGCCTCCTTGCCTAACTACAGATACATTGATATCAACATCATTCTTCTTTATTCCATCAGGTCTCCGTTCTAATATCAAACTGTATCTCCTGTTTGAGTCTTTCCCTGAACTGTATGATATCTCCGTGTAACAAGCTTGTTTTAATTTTTTATAGCCTTTACCATCATTTCACATATTACTGTATTTGCTCACTTGTCCTTTTTCTGGCTTTTTCTGTCTTTCCAATGAGAATGTACATTCTTTGGGAGCAAGAATTTTATGAACGTTTACCATATCACTGAATGTATGCAACTGAATGTGTGCCGGGTGGTGAATACTTGTGAAATAAATGGATGAATCCCTCACCTTGGTCTGAAGTATATAAATGATTTTAGATCTCCTTTTGCTTGGAGTTAGATCCTGGTTGAGGGAGTAATGAAATCTATAATCTGCACTTGCACTTTGAACGTTCTACGTACTCTCTATTGGCTCTGGTCTCATGCCTCAGGCACGTTGTCTGGAAGAGTCTCAAGAAATCAGTTCTCACTGTTCTAGATTCTTCCAGTTGACTTTGGAAAAAAACTATTCTATAAAACCAAATTTTCCATTGTTACTCTGTCTCTTTCACTCTGAAAGCAGGGAAACTATAAATATATCATGTTTAAAAAGTAGTAATCTGTATTGATCTACTGGAGATGTACTCTTTAGAATTGGAACAAAGGCCTAAGTTTCATAGTTTATTCTAATTTATTTCATCTTAGCCTCTATTAGAGGGCTCCCTAGTGTTTAACCAAATTGTAGGTTTTCCCGCTAATTGTTCTGTTTTCCTTAGATTTGTGTATTTTGCAAAAGGTAGCAAAAACATTTTATAATTTTTAATTTTCAAAACTTTTTTTAGAAACTTCTTGCAAAACTTTTCAAACTTTTTTTTATTTAGATAGATGATAGGTTGTACAGGCTGTGAACTCTGTAAAATGATACAAAGTTTTCAGGATACCCCTTTGTAATATTCTTCAATATAAATAAGGAACAAATTATATTTTTAACAAAAAAGACACATTAATATCTGTTGCGAGAAGTAGGTAGAGCTTAAAGGGAAAGAGAAGCTCAGTATAATGAAGTCTGGGGGAACTATGTTTACTTTTCTATTCCATCATTAGAACTACATAAAATCTTCAAAACACAAAATGCTTGTTTTAGAGAATCATTGAATGACAAACATGTACCTTACTGATAATCTATTTTGTGTTAGACCCCCAAAGATAACCATATCGTAATTCTAGCAATTTCAATATTGCCTTATGTAGGAAAAGACCCTTTGTAGATATAATTAAGTTAAGGATTTTGAGCTGAATAGGTTGTTCAGGATTTAGGTGTAGTACCCTAAATGGTGTGATAGTGATCATTTTAAAGGGATATTACACACACACACACACACACACACACACACACACATGCACATACCTACACAAATATCAAAATATGAAGATAGAAGTATAGATTGAAGTTATGTACTCACAAGCTATGGGATGCCAGCAGCAGTAAGAAGCTGAAAAGCATGAGGAAAGCATTCTGCCTTAGAGCTTCTGGTGGGATTGTGGTCTTAGTAACATTGCAGTCTCAGCCCAGTAAAACAAATGTTACATTTGTGGCTTCCAAACTATGAGGAAATAAATGTCTGTGGTTTGAAGCCACCAATTTCTGGTATTTGTTAAAACAGTCATATGAAACTAATACATGGTACCAAATCCTAATTTAACTAGAAAAGTAGGTTGCATTTTATGAAGCTGGTATTATTTACTGCTGTAGTTTTGGTCTGAAATGTCCCCAGAGGCCTAGGTGTAAAAATTTTGGTCCTTAGATTGGCTCTAGTGGAAAGTGAGAAGAGCTTCTAAAAGGTGGGGCTTAGTGGCAAGTCAGCAGATCAGCATCACTGGACCATTATCTCAAAGGAGATATTGAGACTCAGACGCCTCTTCTTCCTTGCTCTTTCATTTCCGGGCCTCCATGAAATGAGCAGTTTCCCTACCATGCAGCCACTCCACTATATACTGGCTCACCCCAGTCCTAAAGCAATGACCCGCCTGACTATGGACTAAAACCTTCATGCCTGTGAGCCAAACACTTTTAAAGATGGATTGCCTCCAATATTTTTTTAAATTAATAGGAAGCCTACTAACATGCCAAGTAACGTAATTTGTGGAAAACTAGGATAGAATCCATTTGTTATACCATCGTTTCTTCATGTTCTCTTTGAGTACAAACACAGAGTCATTCTTCTTTCCCCTGTTCAGTATTTCTCCTGGAAATAATCTCTTTATTAATGCCATTCTCGTTCCCCTGTTCTCCTGTTCCACCTGTTTCCTGGTTCCACTTAAAAAGATTTATGCTGAACAAAGAGGTGGTAAGCACACCATTTTACCAAAGAACTGGAGGTGCAGAGGAGTCCTTAGTTTCTCATTCTTCCTTTCCAAAACGAGTTCAAGAATAGGAACTCATCTAAGCTGCTCAGGGATGGGAGATGTTGTAACTATCAATGTGCCTACTTCCTCTTTTGGAAAGAATAATTGGGGCGGTTGCCCTTAGGCTCATGCCTGTGGGTTTACCCTGGAGTGGTACAATTTACTTCTACTTTCTGAATATCGTGAAGGTTAAAGTCTGAAGTGCTTGTCTTTCACGTTATTTCAACAAGTCCCTGTGAGTAGCCAATAGTGCAGCCAGCTTTTAACTGGCTGCAATATTTCATTTGCTCTGGCCTAACTCTTTTCTAGAAGGGCCAGGGGAAACTTCTTACTTTTCCCCACTTTCTTTCAATTTCTCTTTCTTCACACTCTAAATAATACTTATACTGCACATGAGCAGGCACGCCTTTATAACTTTAGGACAGAACATGCCTACAGATTACTCCCTGTCTTCCTTGTCTCCTCCTCCTCCTGACATATGCACATATCTTTAATTTGAAACATACATGTTTTGAACACATTGAAAATAATATTACTGCATCATATTTATTACATTAGATTTTTCCATAAGGATAACAATTGGAAGAGAAACCTTAAAACTCATGTAACTCCTTGGTATGACCCAGTAATTGAATAAAATCCAAGAAATTTAAATATTGTGCTAACGTCATACAACTAAACTGTGTTAGGAGTCAGGACTTCTGAATATCAAATTTATCACGTATTTATTTAGCGATTAATCATTTGCTAAGCTTTCATATGTGTTTTCATGGAATTTTCAAACTATAAAAAGAGGAATTTGAGAGATGTTCAAAGTCTCCAAAATATAGTTGAGTTGTATCTTTTTGTCATTGTAATTTACATTATTCTTTCTTTTTATTTATTCATTTATTTTTTCCTGGTACCAGGAATTGAACTCACGACCTCATGCTTGCCAGGCAGGCACTGTGCCACTGAGCTAAATCCCTGGCCCCTGTACTTTATATTATTCTTTCTATAGAAGTAATACCTTATCCATGTAAAAATATTAGAAAATATAACTTGCTAAAAATAGGAAAAATAAAACCCTGCTCTTCTAAAATGCTTAACAATCACTATATATAGTTGCATATACCATTCACATTTTATCTAGATATAGATAAATGTGTTCATTTTTGTTAAACATTACACAGTTTACATATTATTTTGAAACATATTCTTCCTCTTTGAAATAGACTTTGTCTTTTAGAGCAGTTTTAGGTTCATAGCAACATTGACCAGGAAGTACAGAGAGTGCCCCCTGCCCCTCCTCAGCACATACCTGGTCTTGCCACTATCAACATACCATCCTGTATCACAGTGGTATATCTGTTACAATTAGTAAAACTACACTGACACGCTATTATCACCCAACATTCAGTTTACCTTAGGGTCCACCTGGGCTGTTATAATTTCTATAGTTTTTGACAAATATGAGATTTATCTATCATTATAATATCATGCAAACTAGTCTTATTTTTCTTTAAAAATTCTCTCTGCCCACTTATTTATCCCTGCCTAACTCTCCTCTAACTCCTACAAACCATTGCTTTTTAAATGGTTATTTTTTTCTTAAATTTTATAGTCTACATAGTCACCCCCTATAATTTCACATATTCAAAAGCATATAGTATACAGCCTTCTTAGATTGGCTTCCTTTATTAAATAATATGCATTTCAATTTCCTGCATGTCTTTTCATGGCTTGATAGCTCACTTATTTTGAGGGGGGCCCAGCAGTTTGGGGATGCCGAAAATGTAGAACACCTGAGGAAAGAGCCGGTGAACACCACCAACCTAAGAGAGGGGCTTTGGAGGCTGTAACCAGCAAAGTCATAGGGATGGTGCCACTCAAGCCATTTGGAGCTCACATCTTGCCACAATTTTCCTTGGGTGCTGGTCATGCTTAATATGTGGTCTGCTGGGTTTTGGTCCTACTTTGGTACCATTCCTTTCTAGTCCCTATGTATCTTTTTTGGAATGGGAATATTTGATCTTGCTATCATATGTCAACAGTGTTCAATTTTCTTTTCTATTTTTGTAGGGGCTCACAGCTGAGTTTGCTTTGAGGCAAGAGACTTTGGTCTTGGAGTTGTCAGCAACACTAGAATACTTAAGAGTTTGGCAAATCTTAGAGACAGACAGCAATGGTTTATATCTAGATGTCCCTGTAAAGCCTCATGTGATCATAGGTGGGGCTTTGAGGGGTGATTTACCATGGAGGCTGATAGTTCCCAGTGGATTAGTACACTGATGACTTGGTAGCTGAATGTGATTTGGGAAGTGAAGCCTGGTTGCAGGAGGAGGTGGATCACTGGGATTGTCTTGCTCTCTCCCTCAATCCCTCTCTTTGCTTCCTCCCAGCCATGCTGTGAGCATTTCTCCTCCACCAGGCCACGCTGCCTGGAGCCAGCTGACAAGGGACTGAAAACTCCACAAACTGTAGCCAAAATAAACCTTTCCTCTTCTATGGTGTGGGTGTCAGGAATTCTTTCTCAGAAACGAGGAAGTAACTAAGACATGTACTAAATGAATCTTGGGTAAAGAGACGGACATGAGTGTTTTGGGGTCCAAGGACTGAATGTTATGGCTTAGATCTAAAATGTTCCCCAAAGCCTCATGTTTTCAGAAGTGAGATTTGTAGAAGAGATGAGATGAGGTGGGTGTTAAGTTCACTGGGGAATTCATTCACTGGTGAGTTCAGAGACCACAGGTTCAGCTGGGAGGGAGCTTGGTAAGAGGTGATCACTGGAGGCCCAATTGGAAATGGTATGTCTGGTTGCTCCCTTCTCTCTCTCTGCTTCCTGATTACCATGGTGTGAGCTGCCTTCCTCTACCTCAGGCTTCCACCACACCCTGCTGTGGAGCCAGCTGACTGTGGAAGGAATCCTCTGAAAACAATGACCAAAGAGAAACTTCTCCTCCTTTAAGTTGTGAGTCTTGAATATTTTCTTGAAGTGATGAGAAAAGTGTATTACATCGAAATTATCAACCTTGTGTGGTATATTCATTATTCAATTTATTTTATTATTATCATTTTAGTATCTGTAAAATCTATGCTGAACTCTTTTATTTCTGAAATTACTAACGTGTAATTTCTATTTTTAGTATTTATTTTAGTTTTTAGAGAACCAGGTTTTCTCTTGTTTGTCTCTACTTAGTCCTGTTTTCAATTTCATTACTTTTTGCATTAATTTTTTTATTTTTCTCTTCTTTTAGATTTTCTTTACTCTTCTTTGTCCCATTCCTTAAGATACAAGCTTAAATGATTCATTTTCTACTTTCTTTCTAATATAAATACTCAGTGTTATCAATTTCCCTTTAAGCCCTTTCTTCACAGTGTCCCAAAATTTGAGTGGTTGTATTTTCATTGTTACTTATCTAAAGTTCTTTAAGTCATCCCTATTATTTCTTTTTTGGTCAATGTGTTATTTGTAAGTGATTGTTACTACATATATTTTGGAAATTTTTAATTATCTTTCTATTCTTGATTTGCAATCTAATTCCATTTTTCTGAGAGCAGAAATTTGGCGATTTCTATACTTTTCAATCTGTTGGTTTGTGCTGGATAGCCAAGAAAGTGATCTGTCTTGGTGAATGTTCAATATAAATCTGAGAGGAATATGTAGTATGTTGCTGTTGGGTGAAATTATTTACAGATATTTTATATCCCATTGATCATTAGCACTGTTGAGTTAAGCATGTGTTTGCTACTGACATACCTGCTGGATCTGTCTATTTCTGATGAAGAACTATTCAAGTATCCAAATATAATAGTAGATTCAACTAACTCTCCTTGTAGTTCTATTAGTTTTGGTCTTATATATTTTAATGGTCTGTTTTTAGGTGCATAGCCTTTAAAGATTATTATGTTTTCTTAGTGAATTGATTTCCTATTCCCATTTAATGCAGCTCTGAATCCTTGATAACATTTCTTGCTTTGAAGTCTGCTCTGTCTGAAATCAGTATCACTCTTTTGATTAGTGTTAACATGGTATATCTTTCTCAGTCAATTTATTTTTATCTTTGTGTGTCTTTACATTTAAAGTAAGTTACTTGTTGACAGCATATTATTGGGTCTTGTTTTTTGATCCAGTTTGGAAATCCCT